TCTCCCCCCCTTCCCCCGTACCCCCCCAAAGTTGTAAAGTTCGTTTTTCGACATAAGGACTTGTACATCTCACTGTTGCAATGGGTCCACCTGTATCCCTGTTTTAACGATTTGTTTTTTCCCTTCCCCTCCACATATACCAACATCATATATAGTGAAAGCAGGGATTATACCATGGGGGAGGGACATACAAAGCACCCCTGTTTTGCTTTTTTATCTTTCAAAAAGACCTGTCTTATTTCATCGGTCTTTTGTGTTTATTTCTGCTCTGATTTCATTATTTCATTTCTTCTACTAATGATAGGTTTGGTTTGTTCTTTTAAGTTCTTTGAAGGTGTATTGTTAGGACCAATAGCTTTCTTTGTCTCTTTTCCGTCTGACTTGAAGTCTTTTTGGTCTTACATGAGTATAGCTATTCATGTTTACTTTTGATTTCTGTTTGCATAGAATGTCTTTCCCATCCATTCACTTTGTCTTTTGTATATGTGTCTTTACTGAGGAAGTGAGTTCCCAGTAGGCTGCCTGTAAGTTTGTTTTTAGCACTGGGGTTTGAACTCTGGGCCTTGTGCTTTTTAGGGAGGTACTTTACCACTTCAGCCTTCCCCTTCTCCCCTACCCCTGCCATTCTTGATTTGGTTTGGTTAGGTTATTTTCCTGGTAGGGTCTTGTGTTTTTGTTCAGAGCCAGCCTTATATGATAATTCTCCTACCCAGGAGAATTACACCGCTGAGATGACACATGCCTGGCTTATTGGTTGAGATGGTGGTTTGACTAGAGTTTTGTCCAGGCTGGCCTTGAACTGTTTGTGCTTCCTGAGTAGCTGGGATAACAGGTGTGAACTCTATGCCTGGATTTTAAAAACAAACCATTCAGCTCATTAGGGGAATTTAATCCATTTAAATTTAAGGTGATTATTGATAGGTAACAAATATTCATGTCATTTTGTTTCCTTTCTTTGTTTTTAATCTTTAGGTCTTTTTCTTACAGTTAATCTTCATAGTTTGGTAGTGATAGGATTAATTCTCTTCTTTCTCATTTATATATCCTACAAGTGAGTTAAATACTATATATGTATATATTTAATTTTATTTTATTGTAAAGGCATTGTATAGAGGGGTTACAGTTATATAAGTAAGGCAATGAGTACATTTCTTGTCAAACATTGATGCCCCTCTCTTGTTTTTCTCCCACTTTCTCTCCCTCCTAAATTCCCCAACCCCAAGTTGTACAGTTCATTTCCAACCTAGTGTCTTAAAAATATCGCTGTTATTGGTTCACCCTTTGTCCTTGTCTGACCATTTTGTTATTCCCCGTCCCCAAATCAGATAGATGTATATATAAGACACAGGGTACCAAAATAAATAGTGACAACAGGGGATAAACCAAAGGAGGGAAAAACAACGAAAGAAAAAAGAAATAACTTCACATAGTACACTAAAAACAACAACAACAAAACCTCCTGTTTCCATATCTTGGAGTTCTTTTCAATTAGCATCATTTTATAGGGTCATATGTACATAGCTGTTGAGCTATTGTGATCTTCTGCTAGTAGTGTCCTAGACATAAATGAATTATTACAAATGAGGGAAACTGTGGAGCCTATGTTTCTTTGGGTCTGGCTTACTTCACTTAACATGATTTTTTTTTCCAAGTCTTTCCTTTTCCTTATAAATGTCATTCTTTCTGATGGAAGCATAGAATTCCATTGCATAAAAATACTTTATATATTTTTATGGTGGTGGCTCTAGTCTTTTACTTCTAGAAGTGGGATTCCTTTAAGCATGTCTTGTAGAGCTGGTCTGGTGGTGATGAATTCTTTGGTTTTTTTTTTTTTTCTCATCTGAGAAAGACTTTCTTTTTTCATTTCTGGAGGACATTTTGCTGGGATTCTTACTTTACAGTTTTTCCTTTCTGAATAGATGTCACTCTCTCCTGGCCTGCAAGATTTCTACTGAGAAATCTTTTTGAAAATTTTTTCCTGGCTGCTTTTAGAATTCTATTTTTCTCTTCAACTTTTAACTTAGTTCTAATTGCCTTTGAGGGGGTCTCTTTGGGTTGAGTCTCATGAATCTGAATGTGAATGTCTCTCCCAAGATTCAGCAGATCTCAGCTGTTACTTCCTTCATCATGCTTTTATGTAATTTCTTCACTCTCTGGAACTCTCTTACGCAAATATTTATTTGTTTAACTGTGTTCTATAAGTCCCATAGGGTTTCATCACTGCTTTTCATTCTTTTACTTTTTTTTTATTTTTTGGTCGGTCATGGGGCTTGAACTCTGGGCTTGGGCGCTGTCCCTGTGCTCTTCAGCTCAAGGCGACCGCTCTACCACTTGAGCCACAGCGCCACTTCCAGTTTTCTAGTGGTTTATTGGAGATAAGAGTTTCATAGACTTTCCTGCCCGGGCTGGCTTTGAACCAGAATCCTCAGATCTCAGCCTCCTGAGTAGCTAGGATTACAGGCGTGAGCCACCGCGCCAGACCATTCTTTTACTTTTGAGTTAATTAAAATACAGATCTTCAAATTCAGAAATTCTTTCTTCTCCTTAATCTAGTTTATTGTTTTCCCGGTCAATCATATTTCTTATTCCATTCATTGAATTCTGGAGCTGCAAGAATTCTGTTTGGTTCTTTTATTTATTTTTTTGGGTCTGGTTGTGGGGCCTGAACTCTGGGCCTGGGCGCTGTCCCTCAGCTCTTCAGCTCAAGGTTTATTATTATTATTTTATTTTATTTTTTGTCAGTCATGGGGTTTGAATTCTGGGCCTGGGCGCTGTCCCTCAGCTCTTCAGCTCAAGGTGAGCGCTCTACCACTTGAGCTGCAGCGCCACTTCCGGTTTTCTATTGGAGATAGGAGTCTCACTGTCTTTCCTGCCTGGGCTGGCTTTGAACGGAGATTCTCAGATCTCAGCCTCCTAAGTAGCTAGGATTACAGGCATGAGCCATTGGCGCCCGGCCCCAAGCCGCTTTTGAACTCTGATCCTCAGAGCTCAGCCTCCTGAGTAGCTAGGATTACAGGCGTGAGCCACCATCGCCCGGCTTACTTATTTATTTTATTTCTTGGGTTTCTATGTTGGTGTTGCATATCTGCATATCTTGCGTCGTTGTTGCTCCTTACAGTTATATGGTGTTTTTATTTTTCTTTAACTGAGCCATACCTCAACCCCAATGGAGAATCTCTTCCTGTGTATGAGTACAAGCATGTCTGCTGGACATTGGTGTGTTAGCCCCACTCTGGATCAGCATTTTAGAGTGCTTTCTGGGCGGTTTCTTTGGCTATTTCCCTTAGGAGCGGAGTCAGAGGCCTATGCTGGGTGCTTGTGACTGTGACGGCGGGTGTGGTTTTGCCCCGGCAAAGGTGATGCCTGACTGGCTGTGGAGAGCCTTGAGGGCCAGCAGGCACTATGGTCCAGTGGCTGTATGGGAGCTGTCCAGGGGAGAGACTCCACCGCTGGTGCTTGGGTTAGGCTTATGTCTCTGAGCTTGCGGCTGGCTGGCTGGCTGTCCTCTGGGTGTGGGGTGGGGTTGCTGTCTGTCAGGCAGGGCTGGGATGGGGTGGGTGTGTGCAGATGGCTGTGTGGAGGGCTCTTTGGAGGGTGGGGAATGACTACTGCCTGACAGTCTGTTAGGCCAAATACAGGTACATGCGGTCTGTGGGGCTGGCTGTGCTTTGGCTTCCTTCCGGAGCAGGTTGCCCTGCTTTCTGGAGGGTGGGTGGCTGCGTAGTTTTCACTCAGCCTTTCTGCTGGCAAAGCTCGGAGCAGCTGTGTGAGCCCTGGCACTGTAAGCCCCTGTGTGAGCAGGGCGGATGGAGGCAGAGTCCCAAGTGTGAGCACTCGGCCTAAGGAAGAGGAGGGGCTGACGGGGAGGAGGGGCAGGTGAACAGAGAGAGGAACGGCGAGCAAGTACAGGAGTGGTGAGCAGAACTCAATGTTCGTATGTGGAAGTGGCGCCAGCTCACGTGAGGGATGACGGGTTGGCCTAGAGGGGCGTGGGGGAAGCGATGAAGGAGTGACACTCATGAGGTGCAGTGTCGTGAACTGACGTGTTGAACTGAACCTCCTTTGCACAACCGTTACTGATACCCTATGGCAGCTGGGCCCTGTCTCAGGATGACTGGCGGTGGGCGGTTTGAAGCTGGAGTCCTGCTGTCCGGCCTCGGCCATGGAGTGGGGGAGTGCGTGTCACGTGCAGGTGGCCGTGCAGTGGTCTGGATTCTGGGAAACTCCCCACACCGGGCTGAGGGCCTGCGGAGCCTTCTGTGGGGGTGGTCTGGGGCAGCGGGGAACGTTGGGGTCTTCAGCTCACCGTTCCTAAGTTGGTCGGGGTTAGGAGGACAGGGCAGAAGGTGGACTCTCTCTCTTCCCAGCCGTGGGTTGTGGGCCTCGTGCTCCATAGAAACCCTGCTGCTTCCCTGCTGCTCCCAGTCCCGTGAGCCAGATGCAGCAGCTTCGTTTTTGCTGTGACCTTTTTTGGTGAGGTCCATGCGAGACAGGCAACGCTGGTCTTCTTGCTGACCTCACTCCCGGATGTTTTTCCTAGCTGCTCTGAGCCCTCTGTCCTCCCCTCCCAGCTCCCATCCCATCTCCCTGTTCTGAGGAGAGGGGCAGAGGGTGACAACTGGTGCTGGCTCAGGAGCCCCAAGCTTTGTTCTGCTCCTGCACCTCCCTCCTCCTGTCTCCTGTCATGGAGTGCTAGGGCTTGTTTGGACTCAGTTGGAGAAGTGACCCTGGCTAGTGGCCAAGAGTCTGCTCCCAGTCGGTGCCTTTAGACTGGGGGGTGTCCGTGCAGGTGAGGTCAGGCATCGCTGGCAAGGAGTTTACGGTTCATTGGCTTTCTCTCCCTGTGTCTGGCAAGCCTGGCCCCGGCCTGGGGTCCGCTGGCGGGAGACACAGGCCAGAAAGTGTCGCTGCTCTGGGGAGGAAGGACGTGGAGTGCGGGGAGTGTGCTCTCTTTCAGACTCAGTTGTGGAAATTCTCATTCCTGTGCTCGCTCCTCCTAGGATCCTCGCCACGGCTGGGACTGACTTCGACCTGCGGACGCTGAGGGCTGTGCGGGTGTTAAGGCCACTGAAGCTGGTGTCTGGGATTCCGAGTGAGTCCAGCTAGGAGAGTCATGCCCTTGCCAGCCTCCTCGCTTAGCTTCCCCACACGCATGCCCCAGTTAAGCTCCTTGGTAGTAAGTCCGTTAGCCTTGGTCATGGAGCTTGCCACTTTTTGCCTGTGTGTGCAAGCGATTGAACCCTAGCTGTTTGCATGCTAAGTACATGCTCCACGAGTGAACTGTACCCTGAGCTTACTGCATTTAACCCCAAGGAGCCAGGAAGGAGGAAGGGACATTAGGCCTTTTCCAGTCTGTTCTCCACAAAAGCCCAGAGGGTGACTGTTGATTGTGTTGATTTGGTTTTCCTAGGTAGAAGCTTTGTTTCTCTGTACAAACGACTGTATTTCTGACTCTTTGCTTTATTTCCTGGGGTTATAAAAAAACAAACAAAAAACAGAGGAAAGAATGACTACGGCCATAGGATGTCTGGGAAAATACCCAGAAATTAGCTTGGGCACCCGAGGCTCACACCTGTAATCCTTGCTACTCAGGAGGCAGAGATCTGAGGATCAGGGTTTGAAGCCAGCCCTGGCAGGAAAGTCCATGAGACTCTTATCTTCAATAAACCACCAAGAGAGCCAGAGGTGGCGCTGTGGCTCAAGCGGTAGAGCCCTAGCCTTGAGAAAAGAAGCTCAGGGACAGTGCTCAAGCCCTGAATTCAAGCCCGAGGGTACACACACACACACACACACAAACACACACACACACACACAAACACACACACACACAAACACACACATACACAAATACACACAAACACACACACACACAAACACACACACACACACACAAACACACACACACAAACACACACATACACACAAACACACACACACACACACACACACGAAAGGAAGAAAAAAAATATTCATATAGCAAAAAGCAACCTATCTTGGCCCAGGCATGGTAAGGCCATGGGCAACTGAGACTGCCATGAAAAAAGCTTCTGGGCTGGGCGCCGGTAGCTCACGTCTGTAACCTCAGCTACACAGGAGCTGAGATCTGTGGTTCAAAGCCAGCCCGGGCAGGAAAGTCCGTGAGACTCTTTTTTTGGTCGGACGTGGGACTTGAACTCTGGGCCTGGGCGCTGTCCCTGCGCTCTTCAGCTCAAGGCAAGTGCTCTACTGCTTGAGCCACAGCACCACTTCCGGTTTCCTGGTGGTTCATTGGAGATAAGAGTCTCACGGACTTCTCTGCCTGGGCTGCCTTTGAACAGTGATCCTCAGATCTCAGCCTCCTCAGTAGCTAGGATTACAGGCGTGAGCCACCAGCGCCCGGACCGTGAGACTCTTATCTCCAGTTAACCACCAGAAAACCTGAAGTGGCGCTGTGGCTCAAAGTGGTAGAGTACTCACCTTGAGCTGAAGAGCTGAGGGACAGTGCCCAGGCCCAGCGTTCAAACCCCATGACTGGAAAAAAAAAAAAAAAGCTGGGATGGGCTACTTCAGAAACAGGCAGAAGGACCGCCAAGGGGCCTTGTGAACCTTTGACCACCCTGACCTCTGAGCTCTTGTCAGGTGGAGTTTGGTTTTAGCTTTCCTTAAGGGCTGGGTAGAAAGGGATCTAGTGATCAGGTCACCAGAGACCATTGTTGGAAGACCATTGATTGGCTTCCTGTTCTGCTCTGAACAGATTGAAACGGCCATGGGGTCTTCTTTGCTCAATGGCCAGTAGCTAAATCCACTTGGTTTGGAGGAGAGTAGACCTACTTCATTTTACCAAGTTGTTGAGTCTGCTAAGGACTTCCTGCTGGTCCCTTCTAAGATTCCCTGCTCCTCACCCGCAGGATCCTCTGCTCTTCTTTGCTCTTAGATTCCCTACCCCTCTCTCTCAGGATACCCTGTTTTTAACCTCCAGCATTCTCTGTTCTTAGGATTCTCTCCTCCCTCTCAGGAGTATCTACTTTTCCTTTTCTTTCCTTTCAGGTGTGTGTGTGTGTGTGTGTGTGTGTCCTGGGGCCTGAACTCAGGGTTGTGTGTGTGTGTGTGTGTGTGTGTGT